AATGGAAAAATATGGAGAAATAAAAATATCGGGAAAGAAACGAAAGGCAGAATTTACAAAACAGTCTTCAGACCAATAATGACATACACTGCAGAAACAAGACCTGACACAGAGAGGACAAAAAGGATGTTAAAAACAGCAGAGATGAAAACACTTGGAAAAATTGATGATAAGACACTATGGGACAGAGCTAGAAGTACAGATATACGACATAGATGCAAGATGGAGAACATCAAGAACTGAGTAAGAAATAGAAGAGCAGAATGGAACGATCATATAAGCCGAATGACAACAAATAGAGTAGTAAAGATGGCAAGAGACGGTTCTCCAATGAGAAGACAATCGGTAAGGAAGACCACGAAAACGATGGAATGACAACTTACTGGAGGTACATTGAGAAAACGGACAGAGTCATGTTTATATAAAAAGAAGAAGAATAGCTATAGAGTACTTTCAATAATTACTAAATTCTTTGTCCGTTTTTTAGTTCTTGACAAGTTCCTAATTCTGGAAAATTTTGAGTGACACAGTTTTGGAATAAATTAAAAAATATAAATAATATGTTTTATACAATTAACGAAATTCTTTGTTTTGGGAATGGTAAGGTCAATTTTGACCACGAGAGTGTTCTGTTTGTCCATAAATGTTTTTAAATTTTAATTTTTGAAATTTAATTCCAATTCAATTTTTATGACATCACAATAATTTCTTTTTGTCCAAAAATAGACCAAGACTGGATCTTCATTTACTTGATACATATAATTTTATAAGTAATTGCACACCCAAACTAACATCAAAAATAGAACATCTATCTTATTCTACTTTGTTACAGTTACAGTCTGTTATAGATAAATATTTTCAATAAATAACACATTTTCAAAAAAATATACCCCTTCAATAAATATAAATAACTTTTCAATAATATAACATCACATTTACTTTTCAACAAACAATTTACATAAGACCTACATCCCTATTCTAGTTGTTAATACCAATTTCCCCTCAAGAATTATCCCTTTATTTGTTAAATAGTTGACGTAAAACCGATTATCACGTGTCACCAGTTTACCATTGTAACGACTATTTTGCTTACCACAGGGTAAGAATATGGGGGACAAGATTGGGCAAACAAAATAATCGAAACAAGTGCATACGACACTCAGTTGGTTGTTGGAGAGCTGGGTCGTGGATAAGTTGAAGATATTGGGGGTTGGATTGGGGCAACTACAAAAAAGGAAATAAAAGGTACTTATACAAATCTCTTGGACAAACAGAATGAAAATAAACGGAAACACCTCAAGAAATTTAATATAGGGCGCCACTTGAGGTGCCCAATTATACCTATTACAACCACTAGTTGTAACTAGGGAAATAATTGTATAACATCAAAAATATAGAAAAAAAATATCTTTTTCAAATAAAACTCAAAATAGATCAGAGAAACAAATTAAACATTTATTTTTGTCTCACCAAACAGTTTTCAAAAATACAGCTTATACAAAGGCATATTAAATAAAATTAGCTGTCAAATACAAATGAAAAAAAACTTACATATCTGTTTACAAAAGGTTACAAAACTCTTCGAAACGGTTCCTAGTAAATAATTTAAAAAATAATTTATAAAAGAAAGCAAATTTTGTCTTTTTAAAAGAAAATGTCTATTTTTACTTTAAAAATTAATAACGTAAATGTTACCTCAGTTCACACATGTTAACTTAAACTTTTGAACAACTGGCTAATTTCTGTGGGGTATCTAACTGCACATCAACGGAAAGCTTTATTGGAAGCTGAAACTGGCACATTCAAATCAAAACTGCTTCAATATCATTCTACGTGGGGTAAAAGGCATCTCGGAAAGGAACTGGATTTCTCAAAAAAACGAAAAACAAACAGGAACTAAACTCGTTCACTTCTCAAACATTATAAATCTTCAGCAAAATCAAAACAGTGGTTAGTGGTCACTCTTTCAGAAACGACATATTACATAGAGTGAAAATTCCACCATTTTTGGCGAATGAATGCCGGCTTACAACATCACAATTAAAACGACCTTTCCCTTCGAGCAGTTCTTCATCACCTCCTCTCAAATCTTTTACTCCATTCTCACATGTCTGCCCCGCTTGGAACTTAAATCTCGACTCTATTGTCACATGTCTGCCCTGTTTGAAATCTCTAAGTCGACTCCTTTGCTTCGTTACATTTTACCAGAATCAGCCAAAAATTTCCCTTCCGTCTTGCAGCCTGTCGCCGACCCACTTAAAACCAAAACAAATCTTCCCTCCTCTTATCGACAAAAGAAACAACTTTTAAATGTTCCTTTATTGCCTAAACAAACAAATATTCTTTTTTTTTGACCCTCGTCTAATAACGAAAAACAACTTTAATATTATGGGAATTTATGTTTATTGCGTTTTTAAACGAAGAAAACAAATAAAACCTTTTTTTTATCAGGGGGCATCATAAATTTACATAATACAAATTAACAAAATACGTGCGTATTTTAAACTTGAGTTTTACCTGACTTGTAACAAAAGGTTCGATATTTGAATCTAAACACAGACAAAAAACATCTATATTTACTTTTGAATCGGTAGAAATATACGCATTTAAAAATCTCGTCAAAAAAAACTTGAAATATTATTTCGATTGTTTTCTTTGGTAAAAACAACAGGAGCGTAACACAGAAATCTTTTCTATACACTTTAAATAAAAAAAAACGCTACACCATTACGGATTTTTAAACTATATTATCTCAAACATTTAATAACAATTCTTATATCAGGATGTAAGTAATATATATTTAATTTCAATTTTTCACTAAATCATGTTTCACTTAATATTTATTTAATTAATTTAAATTTATACACATATAAATCGCACACATATAATATTGGCATAATTGCTATATATTTTGTACCACACATTACCCTAATACGAGTTATTATATTTTCAGCATTTAGTTTACCATGTACCGTTGACCTGAAGATGTATAGCAAATTTTAGTATGCGAAACCGGTCGTTGGTGGAAGAATAAATTGATTGTGAGTAAGTCTTATTCTTATTCATTTACCTATTCAAAACATATGCCTTGAATAATTGCTACTAAATATTCATTTAAAAGCAATGAAAAATGAATATAGCCACAAAATAACAGATAAAAATTTATTCTGTGTCAAAAATAAATTTTGTCTCCGAAAATATAGTACTTACAAACTTATGCATTTTATACATAAATCTATAATTAAGGCTGACCCGGTCACGCTTCGTCGTGGCACCAAAATGTTTTGGCTATTCTCACTGAATATAAAGTGATGTAACAGTGTAAAAAATACACCAAACTTAATTGAAATTATACTTAATGATTAGTGTGTGTGTGTGCTGTTGGTTTCTTTTGACTGTGGACTTAATCCATTAGCCGAACTAAAATTGCTCTTATAATATATCTTTTATACTCATTATATTTATGAATATTTATAACCTATTTGATAATAATGATTTACAATACTAATTTACATATATTATACAGGTACCTACATATATTTCCTGAGTGTTTTTCTATTTTTGTTATAGAAGTAGACAAAAATAAATATTAATACTACCTACTAATAACTAATAAATTATATACCAATTTTTTTTTTTTTTAACACAGCGCTAGGGCATAAACCCGGTTCAACACCTCGGAGGTTTAGGCCCTCTTTGTGTTTTCTTTTTTTTTTGATAATTTTTTTTGGTATAATTTTTTTTTTTGTTTTTTTTCTTTTTTTTTTCATATTTTCACAAAATTTCACAATTTTACTTAGCCTTTTTGTATTTTTTTTGTTTATTTAAGTTTTTTTTTTTTTTTTTTTTTTCATATTTTCACAAAATTTCACAATTTTAGTTTTATATTAAACTTAATGATTATTAAACGTAGTTACTAATAATATAACATAAAAAATAACACACAGCACAATGAAAATAAAATTAAAATGATAATACAGAAGAAATTGAACACACACGTTGTGGAACACATATTGAATCAATTATAGTATTAAACAAACATTGAAAATTGAAGCACTACCTATTAAAAATTTACACAATGTATTTAAGCAAATCTGTAAAACATTTACCGCTATATACTAAAAACTTAATTCAAAAGTAATTACAATTCTTTTGTTATAAAACTGCCGAATTTCCTATTTTGGTAAATAAGATTTTTGGTATCTCTTAGAATGGATTTTGTCACAAAGTTGTATGTTTTGACATCAAACAGAATTTTTAAACATTACATTTCAATTTCGTGCTCGTTCTAGTACTGATAGGAAAAATATTGTTAATAACGAAACGAAATGGTTATGCTTTAAAGCTATTTTTTGTGGCATCTTAATGTAAATGACTGTTTTTATTAGGAATAAGTCAAAATTTTACTTTAAAATAAGTTTATTTGACATCTCAATTTTAACTTCAGAAATTTTCTCAACATAAAAAACATTAATAAAAACAAATTTTGTTACTCGGTAAAAAAATTCTTCCAATACTTAATTATCTGACTCATTCATATTTATAATTCGTCAGATATTATACATTTTGAAGTAGATGACTTTCCCATATTATGAATATTTTTGAGTTGAGTTTCTGGGATAACTTTTTTAGAAGATGATTCATTCGATTACATGAAATAAACTTCAACTTAACAATACCCGTCAGAAAAATCATAGCAGGTGATTTGTCTTTAAAAAGGCAACCACATGCAATGATGACAGTAAAATTCTTTTGTTAGTGATACCATAGTAAATTATATTACAGTGACATATGTTTCGCTGATATGTCAGTTCTGTTTAATTTAAGAACACCAAAGTCAAAGTACTAAATACACATACTACATCAAACTCAAGAGTTATGCATAAAAGTCATAATGCAGGTAGGTTCCAAGCCTACGTTCCTAAACTACGTTTAAATCGCTTTTTTAAACTTAATATTGCAGATCAATTATTAATGTTTAAAGAAATCAATAAGGCTCTCAGTATTAAATTGTGTTTATTTATTAATCACAAATGGTATAAAACGCTTTTATGTAAAGACTCGCTTGTTAATTACTACTATAAATAAAAAAGATGAATTCCGCTAGTCCAGATTTTACTATTAAATGCATTACTGTTTTCTAGCATTTTTTCATAGGTAAATAACAAAATTTCACATGCAATTTTATTATCCCCACGGTGTATTCTTTTATAACCTGTTGAAGGGTTATTTATAACCGATATGAAAAGAATTTGCAGCAAATTTCACATTTAAAGAGTTTATCTCCAGTATGTATTCTTATATAATATGTATGTTCTGTTAACCTGGATCTTTTTAAAAAAACTGGTGTCAATTTAACATGCAAAACTGATCTCCAGTGTGTATTCTCATATGTTTTTTTTTTAAATAGGAGCTTTGTGAATATTTTTGATGCAAATTGTAAATGCAAAAGATTTACATGTGAAATTTCAGTGAATTTCCGAAATACATCCAGTGTGTACTCTCATATGATTTGTTAACGTCGATCTTCGTAAAAACTCCTTTGAGCAAATATTACATGCAAAAAGTTTATCGCCAGTGTGTATCATATGTTCTGCTAAACTGGATCTATGTGAAAAACTTTTGGAGCAAATTTCACATTCAAAAGGTTTATCGCCAGTATGTACTCTCATATGTATTGTTAAATTGTATCTTTTTGAAAAACTTTTCGAGCAAATTTCACATGAAAAAGGTTTATCACCTGTGTGTACTCTCATATGTTCTCTTAACTTGGATCTTTGTGAAAAACTTTTGGAGCAAATTTCACATGCAAAAGGTTTATCGCCAGTGTGTATTCTCATATGTTCTGTTAAACTAAATCTATGTGAAAAACTTTTGCAGCAAATTTCACATGCATAAGGTTTATCGCCAGTGTGTACTTTCATATGAGCTGTTAAACTAAATCTATGTGAAAAATTTTTGCAGCAAATTTCACATGCATAAGGTTTATCGCCAGTGTGTACTTTCATATGAGCTGTTAAACCGGATCTGTGTGAAAAACTTTTGGAGCAAATTTCACATGCATAAGGTTTATCGCCAGTGTGTATTCTCAGATGTTCTGTTAAATTAGATCTATGAGAAAAACTTTTGCAGCAAATTTCACATGCAAAAGGTTTATCGCTAGTGTGTGTTCTAATATGTTCTGTTAAATAGGATCTTTTTGAAAAACTCTTAGAGCAAATTTCACATGCAAAAGGTTTATCACCAGTGTGTACTCTCATATGTTCTGTTACCTTGGATCTTTGTGAAAAACTTTTGGAACAAATTTCACATGTAAAAGGTTTATCGCCACTGTGTATTCTCATATGAACTGTTAAACTGGATCTATGTGAAAAACTATTGCAGCAAATTTCACATGCAAAAGGTTTTTCGCCAGTGTGTACTCGCATATGTACTGTTATTTTGGATTTTTGTGAAAAACTTTTGGAGCAAATTAAACATGCAAAAGGTTTATCGCCAGTGTGTACTCTCATATGTTCTGTTAATTTGGATCTTTGTGAAAAACTTTTGCAGCAAATTTTACATGGAAAAGTATTTTCTCCAGTAGGTACTGTTAAAATACTATCTTTATTAAACTCTTTAGAACAATCTCCACACGTTAAATGTTTTTTTCTTGCAACGTGACTGTTTACACTTGATTTTAAATGCGAACTTTCTGAAAAGTTTTTAATGCACATTGTACACGTGAAAACTTGGTCTCCAACGGAAACCTTCGTATCTGGTTCTAAATGATTCTTTGTTGAAAAAAGTACATCGCAAATTTCAGTGGTAAAGTAGTTTTCCTCGGTGTTCATATTCGTCGAGGCACTTAAACATTGGTCCATATCAGCGGTAATTCTAATATAGTCTTTAAATAACTGTTCATCACTTTGTATATCTTCATGGAGAAAACCTAAAATCGTTATTATCTGTTAAACCACTAGAATGTACATACTTAAACAAAAAAATATTTTATGGTCGATTAGAAAAATCTCAAAGAAAAGGGAAGGGGTTATGTTTAATAGAACAAAGTATACTTATTTGACTTATAATATTAATAAAAATATAATAATTATCGTAACTGGAAGCAAAAGTCAGCACACTATATTTGGAAGGCAGCAAACATTTACTTAAACCATGCAGGCATCGGTAACTACGTTTATAAAAATTGAAAGATTTGTGCGGATTTAATTTTCGTCAATATGAGATGACTCATATTAAGAGTCTAAGACGGCGAAGACTAACTGTTAAGCCAATGTTCGAACCTATACTGACCGTATGGAAAAATAAACAACGTCCGCTGGAATAGAATATCGGAATAATCTTGCCGTTACACAAAAAACTAGACCAACTCTAATGTAGAAATTATCGAGCTTAACGTTACTAAAGTGTTGCCCAAAATCGGCCTTGGTCTTGTTCTTGCGTTTTCGCAAGACAAAGACCAAGACTGACCGTGCAAGATTTAAGCAAGAACAAGACTAAGCGTGCGAGACTCTTTCGTCTTGCAGTTAGGACTGAGTGCCGTTTTAGCAAGTATAGTAGTTCGGGTATATGCTTAAAGACTCTATGAGATGTTAGTTATGCATTTGCAAGAACATATTGTTATGAGAAAAATAAAGTTCCATTCACAAATGTCATTGAAAAATGATTTATGTTATCTAAATTACCGTTATGCATAAAGAAATATCTGATACAGCCGCGATATCTGTGAATATCGTATTATCATAAAACTCATATATGTCATCATATATTACATTTTTGTTGATGGTTAAACATTAAATGATCTTGTATTATTTAATATCTTAGTGAGAATTACATTTAGGCAAATGCAAAATCTTCAAAAATGTTATTTAAAGTTTTTGCAAAGTTTTGCACAAAAAATTTTGCAATCTCAGTGTTGCACCGAGCTTATTGCCTAAATGTAATTCTCACTAAGATATTAAATAATACAAGATCATTTAATGTTTAACCATCAACAAAAATGTAATATATGATGACAAATATGAATTTTATGGTAATACGATATTCACACATATCGCGGCTGTAGCACATATTTCTTTATCCGTAACAGTAATTTAGATAACATAAATCATTTTTCAATGACATGTGTGAATGGAACTTTATTTTTCTAATAACAATATGTTCTTGCAAATGCATAACTTTGTTTAGTTGGTAAACCTACATTATACGTCACAAAAATTATTAAAATAAAAATAAATATAAATAAATAATAAATTCACTGTATGAATACGATATATTATATTCCGTAGTTCCGTAGTATATTCAAGTTTATTTAACTCTTTTTCAAAACATACTAAAAATTAACATAAAAAAACTACATTAGAACAATGAAGTTGTTGTATCTTCAACAGGCTTACCCTTGTGAGGATTGTATTGTAAAATTAGCAAAATTACTTAACATATTGACATTATTAATTTGATTTTCTTTTTCTTTCTGTCAAAACTTATTACTACGGTTTCCATGTCTCTTCTATTTTTTATATTTATTTTAGGTTAGTTTGACAGAGGAAGTGTCTATGTTTATGAAAACATAGTTTCATAAACATCAAGCATCTTTGATATATTCCCTAGTAGTTACTCTTTCCCTCTTATTTTGGGCTTTTGGATAATAATAGATCATCTAGTATTAGCTTAGAACGCTTAGTGGAACTATGATGGGACGTCGGCCAGTATAAAATCCAAGGAAGCGGTGGATAGACGAAGTAATAACCAATGCTAAAGAGATAATGAGGGTGGATAACTGGAGGAGAGTAGCCAAGAAAAGGGGTGCTTGGAGGAGGATGCTGGGAGAGAGCAGGGCCTGATGTGGGCTGTAGCGCGATACGAGAGAGACTATATTATATGGAGAGTTATAGTATAGCACTATAGTAGTAAACTGAGTTATTGCTATATTAAAAATGTCATTAATAAAATAAATTTTATTGTGTGTAATAAATTATATATAAATATTATATTCATTTCATTTGCTTTTAACGGAACAAAATCAAATTTTCTTACGGAACATAAAATATATGTAATTACTATTTAAATGGGAATAAGCCTCAATTAAAGGTTAAAGTAAGTTTATTGACGTCTCAATTTCCACTTCGGGAATTGTTTTCAAAATACAAACAGTAGTAAATTAAACAATTTTTGTTTCTTTATTAAGAAAGAAATTAACAAAGAAACAAAATTTGTTTAATTTACTACTGTTTGTATTTTGAAAACAATTCCCAAGTGGAAATTGAGACGTCAATAAACTTACTTTAAGCTTTAATTGTGGCTTATTCTCATTTAAATAGTAATTACTTTAAAATGCCACAAGAAAATAGCTTCAGAACAATAATAAAATATATGAAATTACATAACTTACTTTTTAAATGATTGAAATTAAATTTTAAAAATTATTTGATGCCCATTGATCATTGCTTAATTACTAACCTTTCTTCTTATATGGCTTTTACTTTATCCGTCAAGACACACATAATAATTTAATAATTATATCGGTCTTAGATTTAACTATTATCTAATTACGTATGTATTTAAATAAATAATTAAAATATTATTTTGGTACGCCTATGCAAAGTTGATAAGGGAAATATCCTTTCGTCGATTTAAATGAAAATACAAACAGTAAATTTACTGTTTGTATTTTGAGAACGATTTCCAAATTGGAAATTGAGACGTCAATAAACGTATTTTTATCTTTAATTGTGGCTTATTCCCAGTTATAAATAGTAATTAATTTACAATGCCACAAGAAAATAGCTTCAAAACAATATCATAGCTAGAAGCAGAAAGGTTATGACAGAAGTATTAAATCTAATAGAGAAAATAGCAGAAAATAACGGCCTAAAAATCAATTAAGCCAAAACAAAATAACTGAACGTTTGTAGGTCAAAAAGACTTAATCAACTCCAGAAACTAGGGCCACTGTAACTTCGAGAAATTTTACACATCTAGGCTCATTAGTCACTTCAGGAAATAATATTAGAGACAACGTCAAAAAGAGAATATACAACGCCAATAAAACATAACGGACTTTTCAAACACTTAAAATCTATCAATATATTAAGAAAAAAATGTAAAATTTATTACACTTATCAAATCAGTGATAACATAGAACAGTAACATTGACTCTGAAAAATTTTAAGGCATATACAGGGTGATCATCATGATCATGACGTAATCATTTAGTAAAGTCGATCTACGAACGAAACAATGATATCAGGCTTTGCTAAAAACATGCAGTTCTCTTCAGTGCGTTATCGTAGCAAGACAGGGACGAACTTGTTATTACGTGTTAGTGAAATTACTTTAATATTTTTATTTTTTTTTTTTGTGAACAATTGTTTTTAATATTTTAGCATTTTTTGGATCATTCAGAGTAAACAAGTTAATTGTAATTTTTCTCTAAAGTTGATCCTTTTCAACTTGTAAACAATTTAAAACTAAAAAAAAAACGAAAAATGATGGCTCAAAACACACACAATTATTTTTGAATTCACCAAACCATGTTCTATCACTTTCTGAGACTTTAGTTTGGGCTTATTTAATTTAAAATAATTGTTTTTAGTTGTTTGAGGCCCATATCACAACCTAAAAATGGATTTATACAAAATTGTTTAATAAATTAAGACGAGTTTTTGTATGAGCGACCTCTTGAACATTATTCTGCGGTATTTTATGAAAATGATTATGCAAAAAATCTCATGGGAATATTTTTCCCAAGGAATTCGAGTTTCTCGTCTCGCATAAATATATTTTTCTGAATTTAAAACCAAATTTCTATTATTTTTTTATCATATAATACATTGAATTGTTAGATTAGATGTTAGATTTTTTCAGTTCTGAAAAGGTTTATTTATAAGCCAAATTATTGCAATGTAAATATTTTACATTTTTACACAGCAATTCTTATCGGCAGTGAAGACCGGAAGTCGTAAATTTTTATTACATCTTTCAATGTGAGATAAAATAAAAATGGGATAACTGGAATGTTTAAGATTAATGGGATAACTGGAAATACATCATTAGCACATGGTAATCCTACCATGTCGCCTAATTTCCTACGAAATTAAAATGATAAATGTTTTTAGGATCCATTTATTTTTTCGGGCATGCGTATTATTTACGAGGTTCACAAGGTTTTGATTTTGAAACATCTTTACCCGTTTCTACATGAGATACCAAAAAAGTTATTTGCAAAAATAGGAACAGCTGTAAATGCCACATTTTAAAATTAGTTACCAATATGCAGGGTCTTCAACCACAAATAAAACATCAGCCTTCCTCATTACAAGAATATAAAGTTGTTTTATGTTATACAGAGTATAAGGGATAGACTAGTCAGGTTACCATAGACTCATTTATTTGGGGTTAAGTTAAGAATGAAGTGTATAAAACTTCAATATAAATGTGATGTATTCGCAACCCTGCAGTGCGGTTACGTCACAATCAGCTGAGAAAAAACACTCAGGAATACAGCCGCGACGATGACCTATTTAATGTATATTGTTATTGGCATTACGTTTTGGAGTGATCATTAAAGTCGGTAGTATTTCCTATACTGTGTTTATTATTTACAACCGGTCCGATACATATTATTTGGCGACGAGGATGGGATCCGTGTGTGTGCCAGTTTAAGTGCATTATTTCGTCCCGGTGATAAATAAAGCAAAGTGTGTGCAGGATGGCGGCATTCGGTAACATCGAACAGTTTAACGTGGGTGACTCCAAAGGTTGGGAATCATACGTCGAGCGTATGGATTTTTTCTTCTTGGCAAATAACATTACAGACCCTGATAGGAAAAAAGCTACATTTTTAAGTTTGTGTGGTCCCAATACATATGAGATTATTAGACCTTTGGTTGCGCCGTCCAAAGTGTCTGATAAAACTTATGACCAAATCAT